TAAGCGAAGAATACATATAGGACTCACACACCCTCTTCCCCTTTACGGAAGGAAAGCCCGAGGGACGGCATCGATTACTTCCACTTTCCTAAATGCGTAATACTTCGTATAGCATACATTATACGAAGTTATACGAGAGAGGGTGGGAAGGAGGGAGGGAGGGAAAGCTGAGGGGGAGAAGGATAGAGGGTGGGAGGGAGGGAGGGAGGGAGGGAGGGAGGGAGGGAGGGAGGGAAGAACAGCTTGAAGAGGGTCAGCCATAGGTGAAGCTGAGGGCGGCTCAGCAGTTGTGGAGGGCAAGGGTGGTGTTGTGTTTGCACAAAGCTGCTGCCCATCGCTTGATTTTTTTTTTTGTGCATCACTTGTTTTGGTTCCCTGATTTTTTTATTTTATTTTTTTAGTGGTTCCCTGGTGTTGTTGTTAGTCCTCGAGTTACTCCGAGCTCTTCGGGTTCTGGAACTTGCTGCACCACTCACCAAACCACGACATTTTGAATGTATCTGGACCCGGCATTTGTCCGCGTACATTCGAAACGTTGGCGTTTGGTGAGTAGAGCAGCAGGCCAGGCCACTTATCCACTACCTTTCCTTCCATTCCGCTGAAAGGTTTGTTTTTTAATATATTATTATTATAGATATCGATAGGAACATGACTTAGAATCACATCACAGGAGAAAAGGGATTCGAACCCTTAACCTATGGCTTTGGAGACCATTGTTCTACCAAAAGGGTGCAAGAACCAGGACCCCTGGACGTTGCAGACTTCATTCACTGCACCAACACCCCTTGCAGACTTCATTCACTGAACCAAGACGCCTTGCAGACATCATGCATTGAACCAACAACCCTTGCAGACATCATTCATCAGACCAAGCCCCCTTGCAGACTTCATTCACTGAACCAAGACCCCTTGTAGACATCATTCATTGAACCAAGAACCCTTGCAGACTTCATTCATTGAACCAAGACCCCTTGGCACAATTCATTCACTGAACCGAGACCCCTTGCAGACTTCATTCACTGAATCCTTCACGACAGCGGGGGGGGGGGGGGGGGGGGGGGGGGGGGGGGGATGATAACGGAGTAGAAAACAATGATGACAACTGGCAGTTAGCAGTACCTTCGAAAACAACATGTTCAAGATAGGGAGGAGACTCAGAGAGCCGTTATGTGGGCCATATGGAGGAGACGCTGTATACATCCCATGGAGGGGGTCCGCATAAGCCCGCGAGGAAACGACGGACATGGTCAACCAATATGTACACCAATATCTCATGACAAACAATGGCAGAAAGATAAAAATCAGCTGCATCTGTTTCAGACACAGAAAGATATAAAACAGACACTTCAACAATTTTCAGGGGACTGGCTGGGCAGCGACAAGTTCCGCCGACAACGGGGCCCGGATCGCTTTCATCAAGTGGGATGGTGGTTGCGCCCACGAAGGTAACCAAGGTATCGAGGAAGGCAATCATCAAGGGACGATCAAGAGAGACTACTATCACATCTGCTTCAGAGATTGGACAACGGTGGATCGAAGGATCTTTTTTTTTTTTTTTTTTTTTTTTGGATCCCGTTGCGGCCACCCTCGGAATTTCCCGACGCCTTCCCTCCACATCAGCTGACCATAGTGGACATGCAATGGTATGGAGCGGTGTGAGCAAGTCAGCAGCATCAATAAAGGGTATCTCAAAAGTAGGGGGAGAGAGGAATCAGTGTGTAGGAGCGCAGGTATCTGGCGCCTGGTTCACGGTGAGAGGTCCCCTCCCCCACATCATCCTGCTCAGTCAATCCCCTGGATCCCAGGGTAATCAATGCTGGCAGGAATATCCCGCATCTGTGTTTTTCTGATATGTTCTGAATTCTGTCCATGGGGGGAGGAAAAGACGATGCAGTGTCTATTGGTATGGGACGCTGGACCCGTTTTCCAGCAGGTGCTGCTGCCCACCAATAGATGGAGCCTCCCCCCAGGTGCTAGCGGTGTCTGCTCGTATCAGCACCACTAGCACTGGTGGGGGCGTGTCTGGGAAGAAAAAAAAAAAAAAAAAAAAAAAAAAAAAAAAAAAAAAGAGTTAAGAGGACAGTAAATAACCGCAGAGGCGGCTAAGAGCCGGGCAAGGCCATAATCACACTAGCACTTTCCTAAATGTATCTGACCGCAATTACAGCCAGATATGGACGAATCTGACCGCAATCACATCCAGAGCTCAACAGAAACAAGTCCTAATGTGAGTATGCCCTCCTACTTCGTTCTCAATCAAATCCGAAGCACCTGTACCTGAACACACACCTGAAAAAGTCAAAAAGTCAAAAAGTCAAACAAAATCATATAAAGAATATGTTGAGACAAGGCAGAAGGATAGAAAAGAGAGAAAGATGGGCGAACCAAAAAAAAAAAAAAAAAAAAAAAAAAAAAAAAAAAAAAAGGGGGAGTGATGACCGAAGTTTGACAAGCTCGGAAAACGAAAAACAGAACACGATCGGGAAAATGAGGAGGAGATGGGGAGGAGGGGTGTAATGATGACGATGATAACGATGATGATGGGAGGAGGAGGAGGAGGAGGGAAAGGAGGAGGATGGAGAGCGGAAGGAGAAGAGAGTGTGTACGCAGAGGAAGCTTGGAACAGGTGCTCTTTATGTTACTCTTGAAAAAAAAAAAAAAAAAAAAAAAAAAAAAAAAAAAAAAAAAAAAAAAAAAAAAAAAGAGGGATAGATCATAGACACGAGTCACAGCATCTGAAGACCAAGAATAAAGATAACGTTGCCCGCTGACTGACCGATCCACAAAGGCAAAATGAAAAATCTCATCGTGAAGTAGTGCCCGGCATGCTGGCCTGCATTTGAAAAAAAAAAAAAAAAAAAAAAAAAGAAGTGGGCAATGCCATCACAGTCTCTCTCTCCTGCTCGGCAGCACCCCCTGGTCCCCCCCATCATCTCTCATCCTGAACAGACGCAAGTAAGAAACGACAAGAGGGTTGGCGCCTATTGCCAGCGAAGGGCATCCATCATTCGTGAAACCACCAATACCCCAGGGGCTCTTAGGTCCCCTCTGATGCAAATGCATATGGACCCGCGCAGCGCACAGATTCCGCCTCCGAGTTTACGCCTAAAAACGCGGTAGGTACTTGTGGTTTTAGCAAAAATGATTGCCAAGTAACTAACACGACAACCAGAGGGCATCTCTGCAAGTTGCAGCAGACAGGACAGGACAGCTCTGCAAGTTGCAGCAGACAGGAAATCTCTGCCAAGGAGCAGAGAGGAGCAGAGAGGAGCAGAGAGGAGCAGAGAGGAGCAGAGAGGGCATTACCACTTGCAGATAGGAAAGCTCTGGCAAGGAGTAGGGAGGACAGTTCTCTGCCAAGTTGCAGACAGGTTAATAAAATCAACTGTATTATCTTTTTTTAAATTTAAGGGTTTTTTTTTTTTTTTTTTTTAATATTAAACGAAGCTATATTCTTTTCTCATATGCCTCAGGCTATACCTAAAAATCTCCCATATCTCTAAGTCACACACAGCTGGGAATGGTTGAATGTTGCAGTTATGGGTTGACGACTTGACACGGACCTGTCCACCCTCCACCCGTGCCTAAACACCGCTGCAATCCCTAGGACATCTGGCACTAGCTAGAAGGCGACTCCCCCCAGCTACGTCCTAATTTCCTAAACCAACCAGGAGGACCAAGCCAACCATCTCCGCTGGCGAACCCCAAGCACGCCACAAGCGGGGCCCTCGGTGAACGACGTGAGAATCGAACCCTCGACCTTCTGAGTGCCACTTGCGTGCTCTACCAACTGAGCTAGACCTCTGGCCCTCAAGTGTAGTAGTATCTGTTCGGATCACTTCTTAAAAAAAACAAAACAAAAAAAAACCGACAGCTCTGACAAGCTGCAGAGAGGACAGCTCTGACAATCTGCAGGCAGGAGAGATCTGACAATCTGCACAGAGGACATTAGACTGACTAGTTGCAGAGAGGAAAGCTTTTTTTGGCAAAATTTTTGCCCAATTTCCAGAGGGGGGATAGGTCTGCCTGACACGTGGCAGACAGGACAGGTCTGACAGGTTGCACAGACAGTACACAGATCATCAGCGGCTGTATGTCTCCTGCTCTCTGTTCGCCCCCCTATTCATCAATCCAACCATCCATTCATCCATTCATCCATCCATCCATCCATCCATCTATCCATCCATCCATCCATCCATCCTGCGGTACTTCGACCATCCTGGTGAGCACCACCATGACCGCCACAAGGTAGGATGGCAGGAAACGATGAATTGACGAGCAAATGTGTGGAAACAACTCAAGCTGCTGTACAAGCTGTAGTAGAGCAGGCAATCTTACAGCGCAAGGCAGGTTATCGCTTGTTCTCGTTCTTGTTGCGCTCTCGACGCCGCAGCTTCCTCTGCTTATGTTTGTTCATCTTCTTCTTCCTGCAACCAGTTGGACACCATCAGGAAGAAGCTTAGGCAAAGACAGGAAGAAGAAGAAGGGAAGGAAAAAAGAAAAAAGAAAACAAAAGCCCATGAAAAGGGCAGTGAGGGAGGGAGGGAAGGAAGAGGGGGAAAGGGGGGGGGGGGGGGGGGGGGGGGGGGGAACAGGTGGGTATCTGTCCCACTGCCGCCGTCGCCCGAATAGAATCTCGGTAGTATGTTAATTTTAGCTGTATTGGGGGCACCTTTCAGTCTAGATGCAGTGATATTGACCGTATGTTCGACGGTAGAATTACATAAATATTAAAATACTGCAAATTGGGAGATACCTGTCAAAGAGTTGGCGTGTAGGGGGGCTGTGTGCTCATCATTTACCTGCTCCAAGGACCGCTGTGAATGGTACAACTACTGTGTTTCACCCCAATACCAGGAAGGGTGACCTCCTAGTATGCTTTCCGGTTCCTGCACTCCTACGACGGAAACCACCGTGCGTCTGAATCTGGCCTCTACAGCAACCTGGACTTCTTTTCAAAAAAAAAAAAAAAAAAGAAAAGAACCTTATGGTTCTGGCTCCTTTTCCATTCTGGGGAGCGTCAGCGCGGTTCCTATTCCACCGGCAAGTCATAAGCGAAGAATACATATAGGACTCACACACCCTCTTCCCCTTTACGGAAGGAAAGCCCGAGGGACGGCATCGATTACTTCCACTTTCCTAAATGTACCTGACCACAAAAAAAATGAATAAATTAATTTAAAAAAAAAAAGGAGTCCTTCGGGACGTCCGTTAAAAGTGGAACGATACAGAGAAAGAAGATTAGCATGGCCCCCGTGCAAGGATTCGACCCARAAATCGAGAAAAGGTCCAAAAAAAAAAAAAAAAAAAAAAAAAAAAAGTGTGTACGTACGTGCTTTCTAGGGGCTCGATTCGGTAGTTCTACGTGTAGTTTGCTATTGCTTCCTTTTCATTTTTTCCCCGCGTCCCTTTTTGGCTGCTTTCACAAAACCGTCACAATTGGTTGTTCCTCTGGATTGTGATGACAGCTTTCTTTCGTCTGGCAGCAGTCAAATTCGACTCTAAGTCCTGCAACGTTCGGGGGGTGGATAGGGGATCTAAACCCCCATGTATTTGGTACGCTCGGGAAGACACAGAGATCCCGCTTAGATCTGACGGTATTCTTGGAAATAATGGGGCCTCCTCGAACCTGCGTAGATTTGGTAAGAAATGGTACAATAGCAAGGATCGGATTGGGGTTTGGCCCGTACCGAGCATGGGTTGTCTCCGAGTCGGGAATAACGGCGGGCGCCCGACACGTTCAAGTAGTAGAATTTAAAAACAGTAGGATTTCAACTTACGCGGAAACGGGGGCCAAGTCCCACTTGGTACCCGAATTCTCAACTTCTGACCGTAGATTACGATGATGATCAGCGGCCGGAAATGAAGAATCAGGGTACCAAGTGGGACTTGGCCCCAGGGACGGGGAGATAGGGGGAAGGGTCAGGCACGAGGAGGGGCATAGGCAGAGTAGGGGCCTGGACCTGGAACTGGGAACCTGGGACTACTTGCGACCACCAGAAGGCCAACGGAAGGGTAGCGGGCAATGGAACCAGTGGGATGACAGATAGACCAATGCGCAGGGCTACTTCGCGTGAGTAATAAGTTAATAACGACAACAAGTGGGTATAAGTAGGATTGCGCGTGAGTAATAACGACAACGAGTGGGTATAAGTAGGATTGCGCGTGAGTAATAACGACAACGAGTGGGTATAAGTAGGATTGTAGACTATCTGTCAGATATCTCGAATTACCCCCTGATGAGGTCAGATCGGGCGGTACCCTAAACTGGTAGGGGACTACGTGACAGCGCAAAAAGTTTCTGGGACAAAGTGAGGTCATTTCGGCGTGAAACCTGCCGGGTTGGATCTACCTGGGACAGGGCAAATGGGGGTATGTGACAGCACAAAACGTTTCTGGGACAAAGTGAGGTCTTTTCGGCCTGAAACCTGCCGGTGTGGATCCATATGGAACAGGGCAAATGGGAGTGTGTGACAGCGCAAAAACGTTTCTGGGACAAAGTGAGGTCATTTCGGCATGAAACCTGCCGGGGTGGATCTATCTGGAACAGGGCAAATGGGAGTGTGTGACAGCGCAAGAAGTTTCTGGGACAAAGTGAGGTCATTTCGGCCTGAAGTCTGCGGGGGTGCATCTATGTGAAACAGGGATCTCATACTCGCCTGCAGAAGCCAGCGACCTTGGGAGGTTTCACAAAAAAATCAACCTCCTGTGAGGGGCCCTTCGCGCAACTTAAGCCGCCGGTACCTTTCCCACACATCGGCCGCGGGAAAACATAGCGTGGAATCGCTTCGACTCGGCTGAATTTGGGCACTTCGGTAGCGGCCTGTTCATCCTCCAAAAGTTGTGGCCGTACGTGGGAGCGACTTTCAGACGCACTGGTGGTTTAAGGCGGGGGTATACGAAAGGGAATCTATGCAGACTGGTGCAGAAGGGGAAACCCTTCTCCGCTTTTCTCTCACGCACCTGTAGTCGGGAGGTGGTGGCGCGTGAAGATGAACACAAAACCGTGCACCACATCCTGATCTGTTCGCACAGTAATCTCCCGCCATCTCTCTCGTTCTTGTAACCACCTCAGTGTCCTCTTCCTCTCCTCTCGCCCCTTCCACTTCTCCACTAGTGCACCTGTCTCTACCACACCATACTCTATAGATTCACCTCCTACCCTCTTCCTTTTTCCTCTCCTCTCCTCCCCTCCACTTCCCCAGTACGGCGTCGTGGTCTGGATTTTAGTCACTCTGACCCTGACCACGACACCGTAGCTACTGCTGGCCACACACTCAAGCGCTGAACAAGCTTGACGTGCCTGGCATGACTGAACGGAGTCTCACCGCTGGCTGGTTGTGCACGCAGGCTATGGTAGGCTGTGCCGGCAGGGCAGCAGAGTGGAGTGGAAGTGTCGAGGACGAGACGCCAGGTTGTCGGTTGCCGTACATGGTGATTGCTTTTGCAGGTGCTGCTGGTCGCGCACTCAAGCGCTGAACAAGCTTGACGTGCCTGGCATGACTGAACGGAGTCGCACTGCAGGCTGGTTGTGCACGCAGGCTATGGTAGGTTGTGCTGGTGGGGCAGCAGAGTGGAGTGGAAGTGGTGAGGACGAGACGCCAGGTTGTTGGTTGCCAGAGACGGTGCTCGCTTTCGTTTTCATCGGAGTTTCATAATTTTGTGCGTACTATTCCAGTTGCACTTGTCAGATACGTGGTCCTCTCACTCTTTTCAATCATGCATGCATATTTACGTCCTTGTCTTGTTTTTTTTGCCTCTGTCTCGACTGCATATGTTTGGCAGTGACTACTGTCGCCGTACTCAAGTGCTTTTGCATGTGTGCGTTTGGCTTCAAGGCGTCTGTATCGCTGTACATTCAAGTGCTTTGCATGTGTGTTTGGCTTCATGGTCGTTTCTGCTCTATTTGTTGAACTCAAACGATTGAAGGTATCGTCGACGCGGGAATTCGGGATCGGTTGTGAATTTGTGAGTGAATGCATGTCAATTAAATTTACTTAAGCGCTTCAAGTGTGTATGCGTGTGCGGACACGTGCGCATGCAATTGGATTACAGAGCAGTCGCATTTTGGACTGCCTTGTGCAATCAGACGATGGATCGAGTAATGATAAAAGGATTGCTGCGTGCAGGTAATCGAGTGCATGGCTCCCTGTACACGCATGCGGGGTGCAGATCCATGTCCGTGCTCGTCGTCTTTTCCTCCCCCCATGCTTGTAGCCTTCCTCCCTTCCCTGTCAAGTATGCCGGTAGTGGCATATTCGGTGATGCGGATTTGAGGGCAGTGCCAAAAAGGACAGCAGGCAGTTTTCAAGGCCACAGGCCCACAGATCAAGATCCCTGTTCCAATTTGGGTGTTCTACCCTTGCCGAAAATCCTTCGTTGCAACCCGTCACAACCTGCTGAACCTCCAAGGGTACCGACACAAAGACAGCTAAAAATAGCCTCCACTACCATCTTCAAGGGTACCCGTCACAGCCTGCTGAACCTCAAAGGGTACCGACACAAAGACAGCTAAAAATAGCCTGCACTACCATCTTCACCCGAATAGAACGACCAGTCATTAGAGCTGTATTTTTGGCGCAACTTTCAGTGCAGATATGGCAATGGTGACCGGGCGTTCTATTCAGGGCGAAGACGGTAGGCTCCACGTACCTCCAAATACAAAACAGGGTCTCATCTTATCAGCCTCCTGCCTCACAGTATCCTCAATGCACACAGCGCAATCCAGAACTCGGCTGCACTTGTCTTCTTCATGCTCCCTTTGCCAAGCGCCACCTCTCCCAAGCTCCTACCAGCCTATGCAGAAGCTCTCAGGCGTTGGTAGAGCATCCGCCATAGCCAGCATGAAAGGGAAGCCCAGCTTCTTTAACTGTGGGGGAAGAATGAAGCCAACACTGCTACTAGGCAGCCTGGCATGCCTTGAAGCAGCCTAACATTGAACCCCCAGTATATGGCCCAGCCCCCTTGTAGAGAAATCTTTCATTGCCAGTGTACCGCCCCAGCCCTCGGGCCTCCCGGACCACAATGGCTGGCGGCACCAGCTGAAAAAAAAAAAATGTGTGCCGCCGTTGGTTCGGAATACCTTGGCGCACAGTGGAAGGCCACCAGGCCTGGGTGTACTGGTGGTTTAAACCGCCAGTACCTACCACGTTTTTAGGCGTTAACGCAGAGGCTGAATCGGTGCGTCGTGCGGGTCCATATGAATTTGCATCAAAGGGGGCCTAAGACCCCCTGGGGTACTGGTGGTCTAACCGGGGAAAGTGGAGGCTGTTAGCAGTGCTGCCCTGTGAAAAAGAAAATAGGGAAAAAAAAAAAAGGCAGCCTGCGCTGGCTTGAAGCAGCGTGACATTAACTGGGTAAAGTGGGGTACCCTGGAAGAATGCTTAGTATACAGTGCAGGTCCCGCCTCTCAAAAAAAAAAAAAGAGAAAAACAGGGTAGTACTGCTTGGTTGGACCTCTAAGCCCCTTTGCTGACAAGTACAGATTGCAACAGGGGGCTCAGGCTTGCGCCTGTTGGGTAAAATGGGATAACCGAACATCAACCACGTACCGGCCCAGCAACAGTGCACAGCAGGTGAGTTTAGGGCAAAAAAAAAAAAAAAAACATTGGCCAGCTTCAGTTATCTAGTACCATGTCCTCTGTGCCTACAAGAGATGGGCCTTCCCTTCGCCTTCCTGGAATTTCTGGTGAGGAATTGAACCAGGGACATCAAACTTGTAAAAATACAAATAAGTTGAAATAACCCCAAAACATAACGAAGTCTATACAGAAAGAAGGTCACAACATCTACCTGAGTGATGCCTGGTCTCACTACAGGGCTTAAACTGCTGCACAGACTGAAGGGCTGTTGCAAGGGCAAGAAGAAAGCTGAGAACAAGGAGGGGATGTGGACGGGGACAAGAACATGGATGGGGCGAAGGACGGCAACGGGGACGGGGACGGGGACGGGGA